GCCGAGTGGGCGGCCCCGCCCCTTTGCCCTCTGCTAGCTCCTCCTCCTCCTCCTCCTCCTCCTCCTCCTCCGCAGGGGAGCTCCAGATCACCACCAGCACAGCTGGTGAGACCCTTGGGGTCTCAGGTCCCTCTACAGTAAAGCAGGTGTGAGCCATCATCGCTAATAAAACGTCCTGTGCATGGGCAGGAGCCAGCGGTTTTGTTCCCAGGTGACAGGGCTGGAGGACGGCTCGGAGTTGGATAGGAAGAGATGTGAGGACGGAGAGTGAGAAATGGAGATGAGAGAGGGAGCGAGGAAGAGTGACCGTTTTTTTCTCAGCTGGCGCTCAGAAGCTAAGAGTTCAGGTGGTTGTCCAAAGGCGAGGAGACTGAACCTCTGTTGCGTCCTCAGTCGCGTTCCTTTCTCGGGGCCCACTGCCCTCTCTCCCCTCAGTTATCCACAGTTTTGCCCACGTGGGACAGCTCCCTGAAAAAGGCAAACTGGTCCCTCCAAAGATGACAAAGGAGAGAAACTCCCCTGTGGAGAGAGAACACAGACCCTCCTTGCCCCTGTGCCACTTCTGGAACATGTACTTGACCCTGGGAAATGACTCACAACTTGCCTTTGTCCCCTCCACTTCAGGGGACACGCTCCTTCCAGTGAGCCTCACGCCTGGACTCATGGCTGGGAACAAGCTGGAACACTTGGGCAACCCTTTAGTAATACGTGGGTGTTAATTTAGGCCAGTAGCCAAAGAGGGAACATACAGTTAGACAGTCTGACTTACAAATATGGCTTCTCTGTTCCACTTTGTGATGGCTCACATTTCTCAGCATCTACAAGGAGCTGCCAGTGGAGACTGACCAACAGATGGACACCTCCCTGCCATTGTGGAGCTTACATTCCAGTGGGGCCCAGAGACAAACATCCAACGCATATTGCGGTAAGCGCTTCCTGTTCCACGTGTGAATGCACTCAGACCTCATAACAACCCCGTGAGGTAGCTGGTGTTACCATCTCCATTTTACCCATGAGAACACCGAAGCACAGACAGATACGGAAGTTTGTCCAACTTCCAAAGCTAGTAGGTGATGCAGTGGGAATTCAAGCCCAGAGAAGACTGAATGCATGGTCTGGACTCTTTACTGATCAAGAAAGTGGCTGCAAGGGCCATCGGGGGTCAGATCAGGAAGGTCTATGTAAATCACATCAAACAGTTTGGAGTGTAGCTCAAAGAAAATGAGAAGTTATTCCAGAGCGTTTAGCAAGAAAATGATATTACTAGATTTACCTTAAGGGAGGCTCAACTGTGACCCAAGACAGAGGGACCAGTTAGGAAGCTTTGCTGTAGTTCTAGCTAAATATGGCAGTGGCCTTGGTGGTGCTTGTGATTATACACAGAGATGGGGTGGAGGGGAGATGGAGAGATGTGGCTGGAGGTGATAGAATCTATGAGACTTAACTGATCTTCAAGGACGGTGCCCAGCCATGTAGTTGGGGCAGCTCGGCATGCGGGCAGAGGGTGCTGCCATCCCTGAGACTGGGAATATCGAAAGAGCAACGGATTTGGGGGAACAAAGATAATGAGTTAATTTGGATGTGTTGCCAGCTTCTGTCCTGTCTCCATGTGACAAAGACCATGCTTTCTGTCTATCTCAAGATGTCTTCAAATTTTTCTGGATTCTTTTGTCAGCCCCTCTCCCCCCTCCAAAAAAAAACCCCCAGAATTTCCTTCTCCTATAAAATTCTGGTCCATGGTTATTTTATAAGTTCTGGCTCCCTGATATAAGACTCCTCCCTGATTGACTGACTCCAGAAATGTCCACATATTTCACTGGAAACACATGTAAACATCTTCCTTCTGGCTTCAACTCAACAATTATAAGAGAATAAAACTGAAAAAGTCCATTTCTCCCCCACCAGTAATGATGGATTTATTCTACTCTAGTTTTCTCTCATACCTGGCTCCTTTTGTGACCACATTTCAGGTGGCCAGAACCAGTATCTCATTTCCCAGTAGGTCAACCACTGCTTTCTGGAGTAGTTCACCCAACCACAGTTATTTAATTAGCAACTTTACTTCCCAAATCAGATGGTTGGTAGTTGCCTTTGTCATAAATCCTGGAATAGATGAACTGTATTCCTGTTAGCAGTCGACTCTGCATCCTCCTGTCATCTGGTCTAGATCCCTGAGGTGACCGTAATGACCAAATGGAAGAAATGAACTAATGTCCTAGAGGTGTTTGAAAAACAAAGTGGAGTCAAGAATAGCTAGACAATTAAGTATGGGATTTGGTGCAGAAATAGAGAAATAGATGCATGGAACAGAAAGGAAAGACGCCAAATGGTCACATGCACTCACCAGAAAATCATTTTAAGAGAGGAAAGGATGGACTATTGAGTAGTTGGCTTATCCATCTGAAAAAAAAATTATGCCATACCAAGACAAAATGAGTGGTTTCAAAAGCAAAACTTTAATAAGACAATTTAAAAGAATATCTTTATTATCTCAAGATATTCTTGTAAAAAATATATTAAATAAGACTCAAAAGGAACAGATCATGAAGTAAAAGATTAATAAGTCGGTTAATGCTAAAATTTAAAATTTCTATACAACAAAAATTTACCATTAAAAAGAAGCAATCCATGGACAAAAAAACATATTTGCAAATATCTAGTTGTCAAGATCGATTCTCAAAAAAACCAGAACTGTTAGGAATTAATTTTAAAAGAGTATAAATCAATAGAAAATGGGCAAGGGATGTAAACCAATTTGAATAAACTTTTGAGACTTTGGTAATTTTAAGGTGATTACTTATTACATTTACGCATATGTGAGTTAATCTAGAGTGCATGCTCCACAGGCTTGTCTTGGATATATTAAATTACTTATTGCAGAGTAGCTTCCTCCCCACAACCTGATTGTCACTCATGAATTTTCCCCCTTTCTCTATTGTCCTTCTGAGGATGGCCAGACTTCCTTGGGCTGATGGTGCTACCCAATGGTTAGGTCTTGCAGAAGTCCCCTCTATTGCTTTACGAATGATCTTTTTAAAGTAACTTTCTTTTTCATTTTCTTTCCTCTTTTCTTACATTCTGTTAATAGTTATGAATAAAATGTGTATTTAATCCTTAGCATTACAGCTAAAATGGCTGATTCCGAATGTCTTCAACCAGGTGCAGGGCTGGTCATGTGGGGTAAAGTGGCAGGGGAGAGCCTAGACAACTGGTGAGGTCTTTCCTCTGGGAAAGGGCCGGGAGTAGCTGATTCAGTCTAAATGGGGGGTGAAGATGTCTAATTCAAACCATCTTGACATTGTGAATATCCAAGAGCTCGTGTGATCTCAGAATCAGTGTGAAAGAGGCATCAAAAGTTCTGCACTTCAGTGATTCTTGAGGTCAGGGGAAGACTGATTAATCTTTTAATCTACACCGCCCCTCCCAGTCTCCTCTGGATGCTCGATTGGCCTTCAGGTACAGACACCAGCCTCTCAGCGCTGACAGAAGTCATGCAAGCTGGTCTGATTCTTAACTGCCGGGGTTCCTGGCTATACTTTTCCCTGGCCCCTCAGCCTCACTGGATAGACCTTTTCATCCTCATTTAATTAAATCTGGTTTGGCTTAAGAACTAGTACTCGAGACATATGAAAGATACTCAACTTTGTTTATCCCATTTGTAACATTATTGACCTCTACTTTTTTTTTGGCTAAAAGTACAGTGTTTAGCTCTATTATGGTTACATGGAGTTTTGTGAGCTGGATTGTGTCCCTAATCACCATTTATAACATCGTCTCTTTGGGAAAGTGAATTCTGCCTTTCAAACCACAGCTTTCCAAATGCACGTTTGGAACACAATCATTTGTGAGCTGGGGACTCTGAATTAATGTCTCTTGGCCCAGAGCAGCCCCACAACCCAATGACGTGTGGTTTAAGGTTCATGTAACAGCCAGTTCATTTAAATAATGTTAGCTGGAGCTCAGCTTTCAGGTTCTCTGGGTTTCTGGAATAGAGGAGGCATCAGCGATCAGACACCACATTGAATGGGGCTTCCTGCTCCCAATAAAGAGATGGCACATTCTGGCTTTTCATGGATTATCCTGCAGGTTTTAGGAATGAGCCTCTTCTGAGGGCAGGCTTTACAGTTCTATTGAACAATTGATCCTGAAAAAGAAGAATAGTGTTTAAAAACTTTCAAGGCTGGAAGTTCAGCTAGGGTCATTCTAATTTTTTGAGTGCAGAGGCTCTCCGAGCAGGTGGGAAAACCACATTTGAATCCTCCATGGGGCTCCTTCTCCTCCCCTTTCCCTTATTTCCTTTCCCCGTGCCTCCTCTAGGAAGTCTCATCTTTACTAAGTTAGAAGCTAGACAGCCTGTCCCAGTCTTTGCTGTCCTAACCATAAAAAGAGTTAATCCTTATCAAACACGTACAATGCCAGGCACCAGGCTAAGTACTTTATGTGTCTGATATCATTTAATTCTCAAAATGACCCCCAGTGACAGATATCACTGTCTATATTTTACAGATGAAGATATATATTTAAGTTAGAAGAGGTTAATTGTTTTATCTAAAATTGCATAGCAGCAACCACTGCTCTACCAGCTGCCTCAGCCCTGGGTTGTGTGGGATGCCCACTGCTTCACTCCAAAAAACCGTGTCCTGCTGTGAAGTTGTATTTGTCATTTCTAGTTAAGACTAAGGGTTTGCCACCATAATTGCTAGGCCTCAGGTTAATTCCGAAGATCATATCACACCTCTGTTCTTCAAAAGTCATATTCTCGTGAAAGAAAAATACTAACATTTCTATTTCCTCTCGACTTTAGATATTCGTCCTATTTGAGGTCTTAAAACAAGATCGGTTATAGAAGCAACAACAAGAAGACACAGTTATTTTTTCCTGGAGTGCAAAGCCTTCTAGTATGTACTTCTGGCCTTACCCATGGCAATAGCTATAACTTTTTATTGTGCCTACTAATGCCAGGTACTTTACATATATTCAGTCCTCAAAACCACCCGATGAATTAGCTGTACTATTATCCTCATTTACAATTAAGGACAAATAAGGACTCTGGGCCATCCCTTGTGCTGAGAAGACCCTCTTCTTCCCTAATTTAATTCTTCATCCAAGGGCCTGACCAACCCTGTTCCCTCACCAGGCTTTCCCAGATCCCCAGTA